TACTGGAATTTTCAATGTGGGACTTAGAGCTCCCTTGGGCATGAAGCCCAGTGGTAATCAAATTTTCTTAATGTCCATGTTTTTAATAGTAGATATTTAAAAATTGGTGGTATGTATACAGTTAATCATTATGTAATGGTGCATCAAAATTGACAAAAACCTACTTTATGCACTGCCACCATTAACTTTATGGAAAGAAAACTGTTACTTTCTATTTTTTCAACTACATGTAGTCTTACAAGAATGATTCTTAGGATTGACATACAGCTCATATTAGAAAACCAGCTCTATTAGATTATCATTTTTATTAAATTTATGCATTTTTTGTGAAATTTTCATTTTTCTCATTCTGGCACTTTCTAAGTATACACTTGAACTCTGATGGGCCTGAAGCCTTATGCTTTTACTTTCGTCAGTGTTACCTGTTGTGCATAATTAAGATTTGATGTTGACCATGCAGTTAAACATAATGTATTATTCTATCAGAATTGGTAGTCTCCTATTTTGTGCATTATTGTTTTGCGCTTTTCTTAAGGTGTGACTTATGGGCCTGAAGACCTTTGAATGGGTCAGTCTGTAAATTTCCCTTGGGTATCACTAGGCTAAGTTCAGAGTTATAAAGTCATTTGCCTAATTAATAGGCCATTAAATGAGATTACATAAAGCAAACTTGTTGATATTTCCCTGTAAACTCCCAAAGGTTAAGCTCTCTGCTAGATTAATAATAAGGAAGCAGTGATAATTATGCAGGTGAATTTTGTTTAATATTGCAAATAAGTTTTTAATATATATATATATATATATCAAACTCAAAGATTAAAAGTTTGAATAGCAGCTTCATTGGAATTATATTTACCTCTGCCAAGGAGGTTATGTTTTCACCCCTGTTTGTCTGTCATCAACATTACTGAAAAAGTTATGTACCGATTTTGAAGAAATTTTCAGGAACTGTCAGAAGTGGGTCAAGTAGGACAATGATTAGTTTTTGGTGGTGGTTCGGATCAATAATCTATCAATAATCAATAATAATAAAAAATTGCTGCCTTGGCAGAGGTCTGCACTCTCAGAGTGCTTTTCTAGTTTTATGTTTTCCTTTTTAATTTTTTCTCAAACACTGGCATTTGTGACTTTTAACTCCCATCCGCCTGTGGCTCTGCACATTTTCTGTATTTCCACATAAGCAGTTGTATATTGGTTTTTATGTCTTTAAACATTATGTAATATTATTTTATGCACTGTCATCATTTTCAAATATTGGGACTTTCATCATGTGAATTTGAACTCTCATGGTCCTGAAACTGTAATCTTATCGAAGGGATGGATTGAGACCATCTTCTGGGTCTTCCGGAAGACAGTCAGGTTTTTAAGTTTATATTGACCGATATCTATTTTTTTTTCTGTTGGAAGACCATCAAAATGGAGGATGGATCAACATAGATACTTTGGAATACTGTCAGAAAATATCTCTGGGTCCGCTCCTGTTATTGACCATGTTACCTGTTGTGCATGATTAAAATTCAGTGATGACTAACAGAGCTATATATAAGCATTATTTATTATTGCATCAAAATTGACAAAATGACCTATTTTGCATCTTTATTTTCTGTTTTTTGTCTGTACATATGACAGCTTTGCTGCCTTGTTTTCATTTGGCATTTTGAGCAGATAATGTTTGTAAAAATTTGGGTCATATGAAAACCTAATACAAAGATTGAAAGTGAAAAATTGTGCTTTTATTATTTGTCATCTTTCTTTTAAATAACTAGCTTCATAGACTGACAGCTAAAAATGACTAGCCGGCTTTATGTTTCACACTGTTCGACATCACATATGTTGCGCAATTTGTCTTCTCGAGGGTCTTTTATTATAAGAACCAACTTGGAAATTATTGGTTGGAATTCATCACAGTTGGGTCAGAGTTCGGAGACGTGCACAGAAATAGCAAGGGAAATATCTGTGAATATTTAATGAGCAATCAATGTATTGGCCCTTGGTAGAGGGTACTTTTTGTTTGACAAAGGCAAGAAAACCTTGTATCAAATTAAGTATACACATATAATTTTCAAAAAGACCAAAGCTTACAAATGCTCAGTGGAATTATTTGATCACTATCTCTTTTTAAGACATTTCTTTTGTTGTAATTCCTTGTACCAATACGTTGTACCAAATATTATGCACATGATGCTTATGTATACCATTAAATTTATGATTCTTTGTGATGATGTACCTCTAGGCAGAGAAAACCAGGTTTGACAAAGCTGAGAAAGTACTGGAATTCATTCAAACCATAGGTCCAGATTTTTTGGACAAGTTCATAACAGCATTAAGAGAAACAAGCCACGACTATTTGGCTAACTTGCTTGGTATGTACTGTATATTTATTAACGTTGCAATTCTAAAACTTGTATGGGTATAATATTTTTGACGTGGAAGGTGTACATGTGTATCCTGTCAGCTGATATCATTATTCTTAGATGTCTCTTAGTTGCAAACATATATAGGTCATGAACATAGCATTTGATGGATTGAAATGTCTTGACATACTTAAAGTGTTATTTGTAAGGTGATTGAAGTTTTATATTTATAGAGACGTCAAAGAACTCTGCTCCACAGATTCCAGTGAGCATTCCAGGTGTTAAAAAGGAAACACCTTCTACATTCCCAATGACTGCTTCTTATCCAAAGGTAGAGCATCATTATAATGCCACCACAATAAATGTTCATCATTATGGATCTGGAGATTCACGTCATGATACCATCAACCAGCAAGAACTGGCCAAAGATCCCATGCAGTCGGCACCTCCCCCAGGTGCAGTTAAAAGAGAGCCAGGTGGGCTGGTTGGATCTCCTGCTGCGAAGTTTCCACAGCGGGATTCAAGAGAGGAAATGGAAACTGGGTGCATTGGACAGGCAAATGAAACCGGTTAACATTTTCATTATGCATTTTTATTAAAGATACATTTTGGGACGTGAAAGAAGTGTAATTTAAGATACATTTTGAGATGTGAAAGAAGTGTAATTTAAGATACATTTTGAGATGTGAAAGAAGTGTTATGATGTTCTAAAGTTTTCAGGTGTTTGAGTGCACATTCTAACTATGATGAAAATAAGGATTGTGTAGCGTCATTCCTTTGTCTCATTTATTTTCACTAAGATTGGGCATCCATTCATCTCTCTGTTTTTGAGTTGGATTCTTTTTAATCTCAAGTATTTTCTTTATTTTTATCATATGCAAGATCTAAAAAGATTACCGTCAGACTTGAAGTCAACCAGCTTCTCTGGCCAGATGGAAATGGAAACAACGGATAGTAGTGGAACAGACTTCATCTCCCAAATAACAGGTGTATTAGAGAAAGAAAAGGCAGGAAACAGGCAAATGTCTTCAGTTTCTGCACCAGACATTGAGAGAAAGCCAAAACCAAAATTCAACCAAGCTATCAATGCTTATGAATTCAGTGAGAAGGACTTGGAATTGGTCACTAACTGTTTTTCTGAAGTAATTGCCTCTGAAGAAAAATGTGGGTTTGGTGTAGTGCATAGGGGTAGGTTACATTTTTTGTCAAGAGAGAAAATGCCTTCATTATGTCATCGTAATTCATTTTTTCCAGTATAATGATACAGATAAATTACATTTTATTATTATTTTCGCTTAAACTTTTTTTTATATTTTTATACATTTATTGACAAAAATTGTTAAAGATAATTTCAGAGATGTGAAGCAAATGGTCTTGAAAATTAACTGTCAGTGATACTGGTAAACAAGTTTGTAACAGAATACAAAGTGATGAAGTAAGGAAAAAAGTTTGATGTGTTTTAGAGCTATGATACTAAATATCAATATATGGATAATATGTGCTCACCTCAGTGCAATTCTGTAATTTTTTTTTTTCATTGCTCAAGGTGTTTTAAACCTTGAGCAAATACATGGGTTGAAAGTTGCAGTTAAGAGACTTGCTGATAACAATGATAATCAAGGAACACTGGAATTTGACAGGGTAAGTGCATTTTTTAAAATATTTTAAAAAGTAAATGTGAGCATCTGTTACAGAAAAAGAAGCTGATAAAATTTTCCATTCAAATTCATTAAGGGTAATTATTTATGATAGTATTTTTGCTAGATGTGCCATTGTTATATTACATGAAAAATGTTTTTTGATTTGTTTTGGTGCACTGGTGTTGTTCTAGGAGAAGGATTGGGCTAAGACAAAGTATGTTTATCTTCTGACTGCTCTTGGAATTTGTGAGCAATTAGAAGGGTAAGTAATCATATGAAGAAACTTTTTTATCCACATTATCAGTGTGGGATCATTTTAAAGATATAAAAATTGCTCTCTTGTTATGTCTTTTTACATTATTTTTTCATTATGGATTTAGAAATTGGAAAACGAACACACAAAGATTTTTATAAAGCAATCTTCTCTAGCATGCTTTCACCCACAATTAATGATTGAGCAACCTGTTTCTTTGTATTTTATAAAGAATTAGGGAATACTCATGTATTGATCATGTTTTGTTTGGTTCTGAAATTTCCAGTCTTCAGGTCAATCAAAATGAAATAAAATCAAGGCAATTTTATGTGCAGACACAGTAGTGGCTGTACATATTGGCTATCACCATTTAATGGCTAAAATGCAGGCTAAGTGGGTCTTCAGATTAGTACTGGGGTTTTATTTACTGTTTGTTCAATGATTTTTTCTATGTTTTGGACACTTATTTTCCAGGCAATGTGTTGTTTAAGCTGCAACCTGCTGGGGTTACTGTGGGCCTTTTAATGACTGACTGTTGTTCCTTTAAATTTTGTGATAATTTTTATCTATAATTCCATCTTGCTTTTGATAATTTGAATACTGGCCTAAGTGTACATATACCTGAAGTATTGAATGAGATTATTGTAATGTATTATTTTTTTAAATTGCTTCTCTTTATGATAAATTTGGTCAAGCTTTATAACCAACAAGGTATTTTTTTCAGTAAATACTCCAAAGCAGTGATGACAGTATACATGAAAGGGGGAACTTTAAAAGATCGACTTGAACAATCGAAGATAAGTGGTGAAAGTTTGGACTGGAAAACTCGCCTACGCATGAGTGTCCAGTTGGCTGATGCAGTGAAATTTCTTCAGTCAGATGACAAGTAAGTTTTATCGACTTATCTGACTTGAAGGTACTCATAGACTTGAACACTTGCTAAAGACTTCACTGTTTTTTAAGCAAAGTTAATCAAAGTAAAGCACTAAAAGCAGTATATGCTCCCCATGAAGACCAAGAAAATTACAAATTACATGCGCATGCACGTGAGAGCACACGCACACACACACACACACACACACACAAAAGCGGAAAAAAGAAAAGGAATAAGAATATTTATAATATATATATATATTTATAACATATATATTTATATATAGTCATGACAAATGAACATAAGGCTAATTAACAACTAAGCAGATTGATGATTAAACAGGAAATAAATCGGTTATATTATTTACACAAAAAAGAAAATCTTAAAAAGTACATATAATACAGAGATAAATTAGGTACTGTTCAAGTAATTTCAAAGTTGTCAAGTAGGAACATAGAAATGGTAACAAGGATCTTTTCATTTTGTCCATCAGCTTGAGATATATGTCCATGAAGAAACAATGACAGCTTTTTTTTCACTTTTTTAAGAGACCACATTTCCCTGTGTTTTATTGTCAATTTTTTGTTAAGGGGCGGGTATAGGGCATCTGAAAAAGAAGTGAAAAGGAGTATCAGGGGCACCACAGGTGCAGTTTATCTGTACAGTTCTGCTTCAAACAAATACCCAACCCTCACTCTGTAGATATTTCTATTGTCTTCTATTTAGGATTAGTGCAGTGGTTGAAAGATTATTTTTCAGGGAATTTTTTTTAAAAGAAGGGATTGAAGGTAAAGACATTGGTACATACAAGCATGTTTGATATTGTGTGATGTTTTTCTTTGTACCATTATTATCATTTTCTACATATTCATATTCATGTTGCTGCATGTGTTTGTTTGGTATTTCAGAAGCAAGTGCGCAGTTCATAGAGACATCAAATCCTCAAACATATTCCTGGATGAGCATGAGAACATCAGGCTTGGAGATATGGGATTTGCAAAAATGTATAATGTGAAGAGTGGAAGGGCCACTGTTACCAAAAGTAAGACTAAATGCCTCTAGTTGAAGGCTGCTTTGTGTAATAGTTGTTCATTCTTTGGGCACCCATATGAGGTTTCTGTACATAAAAGCATTGTTAGACTAAATGACTTTTATGTTTGTATTTTATGCACACTCACATGAATGCATGTAAAACTATTTTCAGCTGTTCCTTTTGCTGCTGGCTATACAGACCCAAAACTTCATGAAGGGGTTGTAACAAACACTACTGACTGTTACGGTATTGGAATAGGTAATGGATGCCAATAAAACTGAACTGTTTTGATCTTGGTATCAGGGGTTGAGTATAACATTTTCTATCTAAAAAAACTTTCATAAGTTTTTTCTACATTTTTATGTACAGACACAGATGTGTCTGTACATATTGCCATCATCTGCGTCTGTCGTCGCCGATGGCAATGGCGATGCCGATGCCAGCGCCGTGCACTTTCCTTTTNTAAACATTTTTTTTGTGAAAATGTAATTTTTCACATAATGGCATTTTCAAGGTGTGACTTTGAAGTTCCTCGGGCTTGAAGACCCATGCTAGTCACATTTTCTGAAAATCCATGATACGTATATTTTATTATTAAAAATTGACGGTCATTATGCTGTTAACCATTATGTAATATGGCATCAGAATAGAAGAAAACGCAATTTTGGGTGCTGCTGCCATGATGACCATTATGGGAAAACCATGTTACTTATGATTGCCAAACTTTCAAAAAATACATACAGGACTAAAATGCAGCCTGAGTTGGAAAAGCAGTCTAATTGGCTTCTTTTTCTGGAAGTTATACATTTTCACAGTGTGAACTTGTTACACAATTTACTTACATTGGTATTACCTGTTGAGCATAATTAAAATTTGATGTTGAATTTGCAGTTTAACATAATGTACTTTTGCATCAGAATTGACAGTAGCCTATTTTGTGCATAGTTATTTCCTGTTTTTTGTCTGTACATTTGACAGCTTTGCTGCCTTGTTATTTTACTGATCAGAAGTAAATACATATTTCTTTGTAAGTGAAGATTTATGTCTTTTCAGTGGAAAGAATAACTGAAATATAACTTTCAGTATATTTTATGTATAAAAAATTCTTTCAAGTGCTTGAGGAATTGTTGACGGGTGTTCTTGCCTCTGATCCTGACCCTGAGAAAGGTAGCTCAGTTTCTCTTCATCTCTCCTGGAATACTTCTGATGATGAAGAAAAGATTTTGATAGAGAAGGGGATAGAGCAGGTGAGTGTTTAATCTTTATCCTAAAGAAGGGTCTGACACAATTATAATGAGATATAATGGATAAGACTAAATGAGCTTTTTTTCCCTTTTTAATATCCATGTTGGATAGTGCATGTTTCTTAATTATCTGTCAACACTGGAAATAACTACAGTGGAATGTCATGTGACATTTGCAAACAACACCCCAACTCTACCAGTAACTCTCTAGAAACTTTATTATTTTTAGACTCTTTTTATGATCTTAAACAACTGATGGCATGATTAGAAGATTTGTGGCCTGAATGCAGTACCAAATATGGAAACCCCTGATAAAATCTGGAGAGTTGACAGGCCTGATTTTTTTTATAATGACAAATAATACTCTGTATTGCAGGGATGGCCCAGAGAAATAAGCACAGAATTCGCCAAACTAATTAAGATGTGCAAAAAGGGAAAACCTGTGAAAAGAATCAAAATTGAAGAACTGTATGATGCATTGTTGAAACTTTACAAGGTAAGTAATTCCTATTGACAAGTGAAGTTTAGATTGTATAGATTTTGTAAACTATATATTGTTTAATGTGTAAGAATAATTATGTAAGTTGGTGTATTCCTTTTAAATACATAAAGCCATTTTTTTGCTTGGTCTAAAACCTAGTTGGTAAATGTTATCAAATTATCACAAGTTATTTTCACATGCATTGTATTTGCCTGAAGACGTACATTCTTATTAATTTATGTGTCATCATATTTTTATTTACTTCAAATGTACTGAGTACCTCTGTTTGGTAAAAAGACAGATTCCTTTAGAAAGTAAGCATGATCAGGTCATTTTTCCAGAACATTTTGTAAATTGTTGCATTGTTTTTGTCTATTTGGTGTCTGCATATTTGCCAGTTTAGATAAAGTAAAACCAGAATTAAAGTGGCAATTATTCAGTGACAAAATTTGGTCTTCTAGGGAGGTGTTGAAGGTGCACCTGTATATGCAGGGACTGGTGGTAAACCCATTCAGTCTGAGAAATGCCTCTACTGTTTGGTACATCAAGCAGGTATATAAACTATATTACTGTAGCACATATCGTAGCTTTAAACTACAAAGATGAAAGGAGTCATATAGATTAAGTTATACTTTTTGTGTGAATTTATGAATAAAACATAATGATAAAAATACTGTATAAATGCCATGGGCATTTTCTATTTCAGCAAACAGTCAGCTCAGTTGTGGATGCAAGTTCCTTTGTACTCACTGCATAGTTGAACGCACCAAGGAGAACAAGAGCATATGGTGCATGTTGCATATGGAAGAAGTTGAATTTAAAAAACGTAATATGTTTGTGTGTACTGTATGTGTATGTGAAATTCTCCAGTTTCAAATTTGCAAAAATCACATCACTATACAGGGCTTACTTGCAAATCAATAAAAACTGAATGAATCTGAATATCTTTTTACTTAAATCATATTATAAAAAGCAGTATCAAGAAGGTTGGCAGTACAAATAACAAATCATGAAGATGATTTTCTCATTTGCCTGCAAGTGTAATCTGTGTCCCTAATTTCTTTTTAGAAAACTTATACTGTGATGGAAATTTTACCAAGCTCTTTGATGCCAGTTACCCAGTGGTTTCACTTGTCAAGTTGATCAATTCCAAGATAGACAAGCATTGGAAATCAGTTGGCCTGATAAAAGTCATAGATAGATGTGGTGAAGACCGTGCCGTTGCCACAGGCTTCAAAATAGGTGGAAATTATTTGATGACGAATCGTCACATTGTTTACAGTTTCGGAGAAGGTAAAGTGATGATGCTAACAAGATGTGTTTCAAAGGTGTTTTGCACTAAAAGTTTAAATGTATTTATGATGGTTTACTGTTGCATATCAAAACATTTTATAAGGGTGCCTTGTAGTATTTGTGAAAACTGAGAACATGCTTTTATTTAAAGCTCATTATGATATCTTAAGAAATACACATTGAAGTATTTTGACAATTAGGTATTAAATCAGGAGGTGGAGGCTGGGGGAATATTGCTTTTACTTCATTTTTTCCTGTTCTACAGGTTGCCAAGGAGTCAAGGTAGAATTTGGATATTTGCAACAAACTTCAAGAACAACAACATATAAATTTGAAGATATGCCATGGTACAGTGAAGTATTGGATGCAGCTTTGTTCTACATTCGCAATGCAGACAGCCATGATGTTGTACCAGATCTCGACTGTGATATAGCAGATGTGGAGCCAGGAAAAGATGTCTGTATTGTAGGACATAATAAATGTGATCCATTAAGATATGACCCAGATACAACAATACTTAGCGATTTAGATGTTCAAAAAGACATGCAAACCTATCCTTCAGGCAATTTTGCAAATGCACGTGATAGCAATCGACAGTCAATGAAGTCAAGTTTTATGCATGGGGCATCTGGGTCGCCTTGCTTTGATGAATATGGTAACCTTGCCCTTATGTATACTAAAGGTTATCCTGAGAACTATAAAGAGCTGGGTATGGCACAAACTGTATTTGAACAGGGTGTTAGAATGAGATGCATATATGAAGAGTTAAAGAAAGAAAAGCCAGAGCTGGTGTCAGATCTGTTCCCAAATGTCCGCATTAGACTTAACTAGAGTTGCTACAACTCTGTTTAAGATTACAGAAAAGTCACTGAAGTGTTGCATATTTTTCTGTACAAAGCAACTTACCTTGATAATTAGGAATCCTCTGATATTGGTAGGTGGAATTGAAATGATATATTGTAAGAATGAAAAGGTTGCATCTGCATTATTATTTGCAGCAATGGATGCCTTCTTGCTCTCTTAACTATTGACAGTTTTGTGTTTAACAAGTTTTATTGTATATAATATATAATAATGTTAGATGAGGAAAATTTACAAACCTGTTAAAATTTGTAAACGTGTTGTCGTCTGTAACACATTGTTTTAGCTTGAGATAATATTACACAATTTATTTTGATATTTTGCAGGAACTTTATGTATATTGAATGTCCTTGGGACCATAAACTTGTTACTTGTACCATCACATTTGTGTGGTTTTTCGTTTTGCTTCAGAAACAACCAACTTTGTAATTAAGATATAATGCCTTTAAAATATACACAATAATGTAGTGTTTATTGATAAAATAACCTTATTGGATGAAATTGAACCTTTCCATTTGCATGTACAAAATGAACAGGGGTTTTTAGCTTTAGCTTTCTATTAGCAGATGTGTTCCTTTATGTGCTACAAAACCTAGTATTAGTGCTCTTCACCTTAAAACTGCGACAGCAATTTATAGCAGAATATTATACATTTTGGTGTTCATGATCAATTTTATCACCAAGTACAAAAATAAATGATAGTAAATTAAGTAGTAGATGAACCTTCACATCTTTAAGTTAAAAGATAAATATATATGTGTGATTGTAATAATCAAGCAAATAAGAAAAATGTCAAAAAGGAATAAATATCCTGATAATGAAAACCAGCTTGAGCTTTTTACTATTGTTAACAAGAAATTTACTTCTCTTAAAAAAACTATAAAAATAATTCTGACACTAATGCTGAGCAGCATCCAGTTATTCAAACACCAATTTGAGATGATGTGAACTCAATAAAATCAAATGTGTTTGCGAGTCTTCTCAGATTGTGATAAACACTGCTAGGGCTGTTGCAGCTTTCAAAAAGTAACATCTTGCTACAAATCTAATTATGTATGTACCATAAAAGACATTAAACAACAAGGATATGAACTAATCTTTAAGTATGAAATTACAAACGGGATCATAAAGGATTGTTGAGTCAGAAGTACTTATTTCAGACTGCCATAGAAATAAAAAAAAAGTTCACATGGTCTAGATTTAATATGACCTGCAGCTGAAATAGCTTTGATTAAGATTTGAGAAAAAGATTCCATGATCTACAGACCATCTTGGCTGTATCAATTTTAAGCAAACCCCATATCTGCTATCCTGAGAGCACATTTCAACTAAAAAAAAGAAAATGACCATAACACCGAGAAAACAAGTTTCAAAGCTCCCTGTACTTGCCCTTCAAGAAAATAAATCTGATAATAAGCTACAACCCATGTAATGTAGATCCACTAAACCGAACCCTTAAAGTGCACATGCCATTTCAATGCAGCCAGAATACTGTTGCTGAAAGTGGGGAAAATGTGGACAAATCATGTTTAAACTAGTTCTCACATTTCAAAGAAAATTGAACATTTCTTTCACAATAATTAGATCACTGCATTGAGCATTAGTCATAAGTTCAGATATGATAAACAAATCTGGTATGGGGGATGTGGATAGGATCCAATCAAATCCTTTCCTCAATATTAATATTTGCTGCATTCTCACAAAATCAGTTACTGAATGTGCATATATCTACCAATATCTATATGTAATTTTTAAACATTTATATGCTCACCCAATCAAATGTGTTTACTACATAATATTACGTTGTATACAAGTTTAATAGTGCCAAATAATCCTTACACTCAATATCCTTTTGAATTTTTTTCTGCCTGCATGTTTGTTACTTTCTCTGAGTCACAAACTGATATTTACTAATATTTCACACAAAAGTCACTGGCTTGATTACTGCCAAAGGTTCAAGGTAATGAATATCAGAATTTGTCATTTTCTACAAAAAAGAAGTAAAATCTCCACAGAATTATTTTTTTTCAGAATTTTAAAACATCACAAGAGGCATATGTTGTGATCCTGGTGAAGAACTTTCTTGGCCTTGACCTCTATAACAGCCATGGGGTCTACCCCCCACTGCATACCTCGTGGAACATTCAGCATTTGGAAGTATGTCTCATCATTGATATTCTGGTGGCCATATATACAGCAGGTTTGATTCCTGAAATAAAGACAGAATGAAGGTAGAAGAAATAAATAATCACAATTATTAAACGTTTTCAACAAACATATTTCAAAGAAAGATGATTTGTTTTTGGTAATGTCCTGTTCAAATTCCATGTACCTTAAATATTTGATTTTATTACTGATATATTCTATTTTTTTACCTGTTACGTGTAATTTAAAAATTATTACAAAGATATATAAAATCTTATTCTAAAGGGCATGGTGCATTATGTATATATACCTCAGGGTTATATCTCTCACTGTCCCAGACTTCTGAAATTCTTCGTGCATAAGGCAAGCGCCATCATAAAATTCATTCTCAAGGCTTGACACTGGGTTCACTATGGTACCTGAAAGAAAAACAAGAAAAACATAATGTCTCTAAATTCAATTGACTGGTGTTTACTTTTTCTCAACAATTTATGATTTCAGGAAATCTTACATTGCTTTAAATAACGAGTACAAAATGTAAAGATCATCATAAAATTGTTGCAATGCTTTTCTTAAGATATTTTAAGTACTGCTTACCTTTGAGACTTCTTTGAAATGAATCATACCTCAGGAAATTATAGGTGCCATCAGAAATCTGAAAATAAAAATCACTTGTCAGGGGCGGATCCAGAGCTATTTACTGACAGTCTTCCAAATTATCTTTGTTGATTCATCCTCCAATTTTGACCGTCTTCCAACAGGAAAAAATGGATGTAAACAATGTAAACTTGAAAATCTGACCGTCTTCCGGAAGACCCAGAAGACGGCCTAAATCCGCCCCTGCTTGTAAAAGATACTAAAAGAGTGATAAGAAACCTATAAAGGGACATTTTACATTCCTAATCTTTCTGATTTAGCACTCTATACTTGCATCCCACATTAGACCCTTGTAACATGCATTTCTATTTGAAAAACTTTCCTTTGTATTCCAAAGAAGGCAAGAGAAAGTTAGGAAAAAATAATTGCAAAGAAAAAAAAAACTCAGTCTTGTAACCTAAAGCTTAGTTTACTCACTGGTCTAGGAGCATCTTTGACACACCCCTTTAACTGCACTTCAAGGTCTGCCAAATGAGGAAGGGCATATTTCCACTGAGCAAAATTAGAAAACCATATCATGCATAACAGATGTTAGCACCAAATATTCACATTTCTAACATTTAATGTGCTAATACAGATAACCAAAAGGTTTTAAAAATTGTTCTTTTAATATGCCCTTAGAATGTTTTTAGTTTTTATTTATTTCATTTATTTATTTTTTTTTTTCAAAACATGAGTATACTTGCTGACTTTCTAAAGTCTGATAAATCTATTCTCTTCCATTTAACATAAACCATTTTAGTGATATCAAAAGTCTCACCAAAGCTTGCATAGTTGCTGAATCCTGCCTTGCTTCCTTATCCATGAGCAGCACCAGCACCATATCAGAGTGGCCCTGGATGTACAAGGTCACATTTTCCAAACCAGGGAGCTCTTTACCTCCTGCTTTATTGGCTGACAGAACACCAGGAGGGCACCTGCTGCTGCCATCTTGACTTCTCCTGCTACTCTGACGTTCGAACATGGATGGTCTCTCTTTGGTTCCACCTAAGCTCTTTTTGCTGTTTTGTCGGTGGAATGTTCTTTTACCATCTTGACTGTTTCTGCTGGGTTGTCTTTCAAATGAAGGGGTTTTTAATGAAATCTGTGGGCTGTCTGTGGCTGTTAATTCAGAACCTTTGCCTTCCTTGTTTGCACTATGGCGTTGACCTTCAATTTCATGTTTTTCCCTTTTAAAAGCATCTGGATTTTGAATGAAGTCATTTGATGTTGATTTACTGCTAATATGTAAATCTGAAATGTCAACACCAACTTCATCATATTGTACTCCATCTGTCTTTTCTTCATCTTCTACAGAGTTTTCTGAGCATACAACTTCATTACTGTTGTCTAATATTGCTACTTCATTTTCAGATGATGTTTCAAATGTCACAGTATCACAGCCAGCTGGGCTTGGATCTTTTGGGCCATTTTGTGACAAATTTTGTTCATCCTGTGATCCACTATGTTCTACACAAGATGAACTGTCACTAGAATGTAACATGACTTGTTTATCTGGGCTGTTAAAAGGAGAAATATGCTCTGCACCCCATGATACACTTTTTTCTTCAGGGGATAAGCCCTCGTTGTCCTGTGATAAGACTTGATCTTCAGCATCATGTAGGGAATTAATTTGTTCTGCATAATTTTCTTCACACATTAAACTGTCAGTAGATGCATTTTTTTCGACCTGGTCTTTTTGTGAAGAATCACCCTGCTTTACATTTCCTTCATCACACACCATGCTGCCTTTGTTTTGTGGTATTTGAAATTTATCAGAAAGCACCATACCACAATCATGAGCGAGTATTCCTGTAGTAACATTATGCATAGTTTCTTCCCCAGAATTGGGAGGTGGTGAAGAGCCATCTTGCCCACAGAGACTGCTACTATCTGTATGAGCAGGTGCTCCTTCATTGTTGAAATTTGCTTCAACTTTATCCACAGTATCTAGAAGCAGGACAGATTCTTCAATGTTTCCTTTTTCCTCCTCTTCCTTCACAGAGCTAAATAATATTGTTTCTGTTGAGTCTTTACAACTGTCATCTGTGTTGTCTTGTTGATTGTTGTTTGAGTGACTTTCCAAAGTCTTTCCAACTGAAGGCTCTGTAGTTGAGTCTTTACTACAGGCATCTGTGGTGTCTTTTTCATTGTTGTCTGAGTGACTTTCCAAATTCTTTCCAACTGAAGGTTCTGTAGTTGTATCTTTAATACAGGCATCTGTGGTGTCTCTTCGGTTGTTGTTTGAGTGACTTTCCAAGGTCTTTCCAACTGAAGGTTCTGTAGTTACTTCTGCAAAGCTGACTTCAGAGTCAGTGCTGATAAAAGAAACTCTAGACTGGTCTTTCTCATCTGCTTCTGATGGTATCAGCTTATCACCAGAGGATGGTTGGGCCAAATCAAATCTCTCTTTCACCAGGTTGATACAGGTTTGTCTTTTGGAGTCTTTACAATTCTCTTCATCCGCAAGCTGACGTTCGCATTCCTCTTTTTGTCCTTGCACATCACAGTTTGAAGAAGTTGACGAAACACTTTGTGGGGAGTTAAATACACTGGAATAATCAGACATAGATGGGGAAGTGTCCCTCATTCGTTGTAGCTGC